GGATTGAGATAGATTGATAACAGAAGAAAAAAGGGATAAAGACAAGTGAAGCCATGAAAGCGATACAACACAGAAATCTGCCACAAGACTTCATTCAGCTTGTCTTTGCTGCTGAGCTGATGGATGGATAGGAATCAAAGGAGAGACTGAGGAGAAACCAACAATACCAGTGAATGCAAAGGTGGCAAACTGTCAGGAGACAGAACCATCATTGTTCTATATCACAGCCCCAAAATGTAACTGAGACTGTTAGTGACATTTAGTTTGTATTATTATTGATACCATATTTACTCAAATCTAAGATGAGGTTACCCATCCTAATCAGCATGGGGGGGGCTGCAATGGCTCTGACTTCGGCCTTGAGCCTAGATTAGGATCAGAGTCAGAGTCAGACTCCTGTCCTTCTACCCCCTCCCCCATCCACTTGCCCTCTGCAGCTTCTGCCTCTCACCCTGCCCCCTCTGCCCTCCACCCTCTTACTATCAGAAGCAACCTGGCTTGGGCTGGATTCCCTCCCAGGCACAATACCCATCCCCTGCCCAGCCAATCAGCAGCGCCACTACTGCTGCTGCATGGCCCGGCAAGGGCTGCATTTCCATGTGCCATGCTCTGTGATCCAGCAGGGACAAGAGCCTAAGCAGCATCTGACAGTAAGAGGCAGGGGGAATGGGCAGAGATTATGGGGAGTAGGTGGGCGGAAGGGGCAGAAATTGTGGGGAGGTGGAGGCAGAGGGGTACAAGTGGTGGGCAGACAGAAAGGCTGCAGGTGAAAGAAGGGGAGGGCAGAGGGCAAGGGGGCCACCTGAAGCCCCACACTCCAGCCACTGCTTTCTGTAGCAGCAGGCGGGGAGCGGGGGGAGTGAGGAGGAAAAGGTGGAAAATTTAAGACAACCCTCAAAATTAATTAGATTGTATACCTGGAAAAGTATAACAAATTTATAAATTTTCTGTGTATAGGATCTAATTATTGGGGGTATCATCTTAAATTCAGGGTCATCTTGGATGCTAGTAAATGCAGAACTACTTGGCATTTTTCATCCATAGTTCTCAGAGTCCTTTACACAGAAGTGTAAATATCCAACCTTCTTCTTTTCACAGATGAGAAAAACGAGGTACAGCAAATGTAATGGACATGTTCAAGAGTTGCATAAATAATCAATGGCACAGCTCAGAATAAAACCCAGAACACCTCACATCCTCCCTCTAATCCACCAATCGGTACAACACACTATCCCTGCACCCAAAGGAAGAACTACTAAGGTATAAAATGACAACTTAAGCCCCCAGCCCTGCAATAGGTACCACGTTATAGGACTCATTATAAGCTCTTGGGTGCTTGCTACTTTAAATAAGGTGCCCAGAATCACATACTTCTGGTTGTTTACAAACAAAAAAAAGTCATGTAAAAGTCGTATCTTCTCTTTTATCAGCCATCCAGTTACAGTGAAATGGGGAGACAGACAAAATTGTTTACCTGAAAATTCTCTTCTTTTACTTCCCTCCCACTGCAATCTTACAAACTTAAAAGCTGTGTCTTGTATGGCTGTTTATAATTTTGCATCATTCAGTGGATGATGTAAAATCTTAAATCCTTTTTAAGATTTAAGCTTTTAACATCTTCATGCTGGAAATGTAAAAAATTTCAGTGCAACTAGCAGCTCCCAGATTAAATCACAAATTTAAGTCTGAATTTAAATTTTCCAGAGAAACTAGGCTCTGTTTTTTTGTTCATCCCAAACATCTAGAAGTTTAGGAATCAGCAGAAACAAATCAGAGTGTATTTTCAAACGAGTCAAATTCAGTATTCAATAACATTAGCAGGATCCATCTTGATAAAAAAAAAAATGAAACCTCCTTTAACAATAGTAGTATAAATCTTACTAAAGGGTAAGGAAACATGCAGGTTTTAAAAAAAATATGGATCTATAAACAGACTTTATGGATCTATAAAACAGAGAGATATTTAAATTGTAATAATCTGCTCTGTATTCAGCTGAGGTAGAAGAGGGGTTTCTCACTCTACTATAGAGCACACTTTACCCTCCAACTCAGAATTAGATTTCCTTAACTCCAGCAATTGCAGATCTACACATTTACATGACTCCAATAACCATTGTATCTGAGCACCAATCTCTATGGTAACTGCAGCATTTGTTTATGTGGAAAAAGTAACATTAAAAAAGTAGGTGTGTATATATAGCTATCTTTAAAATAAGTTATTTTTCTTTTGAGAAAAAGACCTCACTATATTGTCTCCTCCTGCTCTAAATTTCATTCTCCATTTGTCTCAATCCCTCTCAGTAACCCAATTCGAACAAGCATTGTGTTCTGATCCAACACTCCACAGACCACAATTTGGGAACTTGCATATCACACTGCAGAAGTCTGACTATTGCTTTTCTTACTTAAAGCAACCGATTTATCCAATAAGCATTTCGATGCAAGAGCTCAGAACTTATCAGTTCAGCTTATTTAAAAAAAATATACACACACAAAAAAACCCCAAACAACATAGGAAAGCACAGTTCCAAGTGTACATTTGAAGGTTCTTTTTTCATTAGTCACCAGGAGAAATGTGCTGAACCTTTAACTAATCAGACAAGACTATCTGCTGTGCTTAGCATCACTAACTAAACCCAGTTATTGAAGCTGTACATCCCGTCTACCATTTCCAGCACTTCACAAACACAATGTCACCGCACTCATTTTGCTTCTGCACACTTTCAAAGACAAGAGCTGCCCAGAACCCAGAAAGGACATGACTCTCTAGAAGCAGGCGACTGCGCTCAGGGCTGAATAACAAAGCTGATACGTTGCGCGTGAATGCCAAGCGGTCTGCCACGGCTCTTTTTCCTGCAGTTATGCAGCAAGTGCGTTCAACAGCTTTTTAGAAAGCTGGAAAGAAAGATCCATTGCAGCACAATAGGGGCATGATCCTGATTGCGTGTTCTAAGCCACACAGCAAGGCCAATAACAGCCTTTCAAAGGAGGCCCTGCCATCACCGAGGCTCAGGGGAGGAAGAAGGGGAAACCCTGCTAATCGCACTTGTTAAACTAGGACTCAGAAGCCAGATTCTTTACCAAAAAACAGATCCGGACAGAGGGGAAGCAGCCCTTGAAGCCTGGCCAGCCTGAGGACCGAGGGTCTAACAAATGCCAGGAGGAGAAGGAAAAGTGCCTGGCAAATGAAAAGGAAACTAAAAAAGCTACCTGAAAAACGATCTGGCTGCTGCGCCTCCCAGCCCGGCCCCACTGCGGAGTATCCCGCGCCCCCCGCCCCCAATCGGGGCGGCTCATGCAGCGGGACGCGGGGCATTCATCCGCCGCCCCCACCCACAGCGGGGCCTGCCCTGCTGCGGCCGCCGCCGCCTCCCTCCGCAGCGCAACCCAGGCCGCCATGTCCTCGCCCCCCTCCCGCCAGGACCCGCATTGTCCCCGGCCCGAGCGGACACCAGGGGACGCGGATGCCGCCTCCCCCACCTCCCCCCGGCCCCCGCGTTACCTTCATGATGAGCTCAGGCTGCGGTAAAACCCCGAGCGCGGCCCAGGTCGGACCTGCAACGCAAAACAAAAGCGCTCAAGCCACCGCCA